AAAGACGGGTAGATGAGGTGCTTAGGGACAGGGTTTAGTGGTGGGATGGCAGGGTTAGGGTAACAGTTGGGCTTGATGATCTTAAAGGTCTTTTCCAACCTAAATGATTCTATGATTCTGTGATTCTATGACTTGACGGAGCTGTGCCTCCAGCCTTTGCCAGTGTGGTGGGCACACTCCAGTCTCCCCCAAGGATGGGATGCAGTTGTCACATCCATCACTTCCAAAGCAACGCTTGTCTCTTGCCCTTGTGGAGTATGGCGGTCCCCCAAATGCAGTTGTACTGGGAGGGGACGTGGTGAATTGCTTGGGTTGGAGCCACGCCATGGGTTGAAGGACAAGGGAGGTGAGTGGAGTGTGGACCAGGGACTCGCAGAGGCTGGTGTTGGCAAGGAGTGAGCAGGTGGAAGGGTTGGATCAACTCTGCATCCTCTCTGAGAAATGTTTGCGCCGGTGACATGTGCAGGGCCCTCAGGGGTCATAACCATCCTCCAGGCCTTGGTGTCCTGCTGCCCACAGCCCGCTTCTGCTCCTCAGATCTCCAGCCAGTTTGTCTTTGCTCAACTTTTGTCCACAACCATCTGGGGCAATTCCCCTCTTGGGTTGTTGATTACTGCCTTGGGACACCGTATCCCACTGGGAAGATGAAATCTTCCCCGGGAGCACTCCCCAACGGGGGGGGCAAGAGGTCCATGACCACTGCTGGGTTTGCCCAAGTCTTCCCCCACCCAGCTCTTTGGCAGCAGCACTGCGGCAGAGGTGCTGGTGGTTTGGAAATGGTGAAGACCTTGGCATCTGTGGTGTGTGCAAGAATGGTGTGCTGGAGGATCTGGGTTTGGTCAGCAGGTGGTAGTATCCTTCCAGAAAATGGGAGGAAAAAGCAATGGGAGGAAGAGACTTCACGGGGTCTTCTGCTTCACCCCTCTGTTGCTGTTTTCAGACCTGGGCTTATGACCAGTGTCCTCCTTGGCCCTCTGTGGGTATCCACCACTGAGCGCCCCAAGGCTTGCTCATGGGCTATGGACAGTCTGTAGAAGAGCCTAGGGGCAGTGTCCTCGATGGAGCTTGGGGTTTCCTGGGGACAAGCTGCCTCCCACCCCACTCTTTACATCTCCATTGCATGGTAGGCATTGTCCCTCCGTCTCCCCTCTCCACCCCGCTGAGGCAGGCTGGGAGGCCCCTCCTGCTCCCTTCAGCCTCCCTCCCTACGACAGGTACCTCCGCTCCCCAGCGCAACGCTCCGTCCAAAGTCAAGACCGCTCTGATCCTTGACCTTGAGCCTCCCAGGGAGCATTGCCAACGACATGGAGGTGTCCCCACGGGGCTGCCTGCCTGTGCCCCCATGTCAGACCCCTCCGGCAGCAAAGGACACGTGTGTCCAGACCAGGGAGGGGATATGTACCCCACCCAACCCATGCCTCCAACCCTTCTGATGCAGAGGGATGAAGAAGCAGAGGAAGACTCGGGCTTAGCCCATGGGGACACTGTGCCTCTTCCCAGAAGCATCCAGGACTCTTTGGCCTCCCTGCAGGAAGATTTCGGTGGCTGGGCCAGGTCCAACGTGCAACAAGCAGACAAGCTCCTGAAGATGGGTGATCGCCTCCTGCAAGCTCAGCACAGGGCAAACGGGCACCTGGTGTCCCTGACCCAGGAGGTCCGGGCCATGTCCCACTCCCTGGCCACCATTGCCTCTTCTGTGGGACCCTTGCTGCAGCCCATGGCCAGCCAACAGAATCCCCCCACTGCAGGCGTGGATTGGACATTGCTGCCCTCCAATGCGCTGGGGTTATTCCCTCCCAGCACCCCACAGACGCATGAACTGCTGGTCCCAGTGGCTGGCACAGCCTCTTCCCCCAGAAGACCTCCTCCTGCCCCCACCCTGGCCAGCCCAGCATGCTCGGAGCACCCCAGCCCAGCCTCCAAGGGGCAATCCTCCAAATCAAGGCACCCCACCAGGGGCAAGCGTGGTGGGAAGCCCAGCACCAAACTTCAGAAGCGGAGGAAAAAGTGAGGGTCTGCAAACCAGAACATTTGCCATGGACTGTGGCTGCTTGGAAATACCTTTAAATGTCCCTATGGAGAACAGGCTCTTCGTCTCACCTTCCTATGCCAATAAATACTCCTGGGATGAACAGCGCATTTGTCTTTTGCTGGATTTGGGAAGGCAGCACCTCCCCCCCAAAGGAGCCCTTGCCACTGCATGGCAATAATTTGCTTGGGCATGGCATGATCCTGCTAATTTTGTTTTTTCTTTCCTTCCCAGCATGTGTGACAACCTCCTGGCTTGTGGGGCTGGGCTGGGTGGGAGGGCAGCAAACCCGAATGGGAGAGCTGGAGGAAAGGCTTTAGTGCAAGGCGGGGAATGAGCTGGCAGGTGGCCGGGCAGAATGGGCACCTCTCCAGCCCAGCCCAAAAGCTCATTGCTGGATTTTGGCCTCAGTAGCCTCTGCAAGAGGTGACCCGGCAAGGAGATGGCCCCAGAGCCACCGGCACCTTCTGCAGAGTCTTGTCTTGCTGCTGTCAGACGTCCCCAGCGTTGCTCACCCTCCTCTCAGCATGCTCTGTTTTTCTTTTTTCAGAAGCCACCCCAGCTCCAGCCATGAAAAACTCCCACCAGGTGAGGCTTGGTTTTCCTTACATTGCTCTGGGATTTTTGGGGTTACCTGGCAGGAATTTGGGGCTACCCCCAGCCCTTGCGAGGTTGCTTGAGCTCTGGCATTTTGGTGCTGCTTTCCAGGGTCCTTTTGAAAGAGGAGATCAGCCAAGCCGCATAGGGCTGCAGGGCCAGGGCAGACTTTGTCCTTTGAAGGCACCTTTCTGCCTAAGGTGCCAACACCTTGGCGTGTGACGTGCCACGGCATGCCCTGCAAAGAGCTCTCCCAGGTGCGGTGGCTGCTGTTTCCTGCCTGCACCCTGCCCTGCCCTGTCCTGCTCTGCCCATATCCGGGGCTGGCGGGGGAGAGATGCTGCGATGGGTTGTGATGGATTTGGGGTACCCCAAATACATCTCCTGCAAGAAAGGCAGAGGCCCCCCCTCAAGCAGAAGTGGCCTTCAATGATGCTGAAGACAAGCTCTCTTCTGGTTTCCCGTCCCGTAGTGTATGGAGGACATGTCTAGCATCAGCCCTGTCTGCCTTTGCCTGGGACAAAACAGCCGTCACAGGACTGGGGCTGGGGTCCCCCCCAGTCTGCCCCTCTGCAGAGCATGTCCCCAGCCACCCCAGCTTGGGATCGCAAGGGCTTAGCCCTGCCTGCAAACCCCACAGAACCTGGGAGCTTCAGGGCTGAAGCAAGAAGATAAAGGTGATTTATTCCCCCAGATCAGGAAGGAGAGGTTCCTATCTTCTCCTTTGCAGCTGTTAAGCAAAGCAGAAAGTTGTCCTGACCCTTGTCAGGCAGAGAGGGGACCTTGACCAAGGCAGTCGGAGTGGCCACAGCCCAGGAGAGCTGGGGGTTCATGCCAGAAATGAGAACAAGGTTCTGGGTGACTCCAGAGCAGCAGAGACCATCTGAGCAAGCAGAGCGCTTGCGTTGGGCAGGGACAAACCTGTGTGGTCAAGCTTGTTTGGCTGTGCTCTGGTGGAAGAGGACATCTCCATCCCTGACCACCCAGGGCTGCTCTCAGTGAGCTCTTTGCACACTTAGGTCTCCACTTGCACCCCTTCAAAGAGGAAGAAATTCCAAAATGCAACTGTCATGACATTGCCAGTGAAGCTGCTGAAGGTTGAAGACGATGATGACAGGTGGAAGCAGACAATGCCACAGCAGCCAAGCTGCTCTGACCAGCCTGGGACCAGCTGTTTGGGGTCCCACATGACTCCCATCAAGGAGGAGAGCATGCTGGAAGATGTGCCAGATGGCAGCGGCGAGCTGCACGACTCGGGTAAGTGGTGTCCGGAGCGGTGAAGCTGCGGGTAGACTTCACAGGGTATAGACAGCGAGGCAGAGTGGTTTGCAGCATCTCCACAGACCTCCCAGGAGGATAGTTATGTCCCAGCGCATTGTCTTGCTCAAAGACAAGATGTTTGGTGGAGACTGATGGAGAGCCAGTCTTTGTTCCTTCAGCTGCTTGCATACTCTCAGGCTATGTGATGCTGCGGTTTGGTCCTCTCTCCCCCAATGGACCTTGCCCAGTGTGTACTCTGTATCTGTGGCTTGAGGGGGAGCTAGTCCTTTTTCAGGTGGACCCTGAGGGCAGGGTTGCTCCCTGCTTGCTCCCCACCCGTCTTGCTGGCTGTTCAGGGCTACCGCTCAGCATGGCTGGGGATATCGATGGGGGGACCATCGGCCCCGGCACTCACTGCAAGGGTGGATAGCCCCACATCCGAAAGGTGACATGTCTTTCCTACCTTGGCAGATAGCGATGCTCTCTGCCTGGACAGCTGTGAGGAGGACAGCACCGATGAGGAGTTGCTGGTGAGTGCAGCTAAAGAGCGTTCAGGGCTAAAGGCCCTGCATTGGTGTTAAGCCATGAAGACTGGACCTCTTGGTGCTTCCAGATCTTCAGCACCATCCCATAATCCCCCTTGGAGCCTGCCAAGGAACTTGCAAAATCCTTCCTGGGTGACAAAATAAATTCCCTCTAGCTCTCCTCCACTTCTGGGGGAATGGGGCTGCCCAGCAGCTTGGAGACCTTGGTAGATCCCATCTTGGTGATGCCAAGGCGGTGAGGAGCCAAAATGAAGGCCAGCAAGAAGAGGCAGTCCAAACCCTCCCCTCCTCTGGACTGATGGATGGTGTTTTGTTGTTACTTTGCAGCACTGAGCAGTTCCCATGACAGGCTGCAGGACCAAAAGCTGGTGGCCAGCTCTTTAGAAGAGATTTTAGAAATTGGCAGCTTCCCTTCCCTGCCTGCTGTTTGCTGGTTTAGACCCTTGGCTCGCAGCCAGAGGGGAGATGCTGGGTAGTCCCAACTTTTCCGTCACTTTTGAGCAGAAAGCCAGTCGGAAAGGATCCAAACAAGCTGTCTTGTGTGGACGGATGTGCATGGAGTATGCGTATCACTTTGTTTTGCAGTGCTGGAGGAGGCAAGACCATCCAGAGGGGCTTGTTACACCCTAAGTCCTCTAGCAGGCAGTTTGAGTAGATCCCTGAGCTTTGGTAACCTCCAGGACACACGAGTGCCCAGAGCTGCTGCCCTGGTTCTTCCTGTGACATTTATGAAAAGCAAATTGTGTGCTCTTCCAGGACTCCAGTCTGCTAGATGACCCCAGCAACATCCTTGATGAGAGGACCGGTGAAGACTACCTGGGCTTTCCCATCAACAACCAGAAAACTTTGGACACGAAACAAGGATCCTTGGTCTTCTTTGACGTGAAGATTTTGAGTAAGATCCTAAGTGTGGAGGTCCCATGTGGCAGCCAGCTCAGATTCCCACATGTGTCAGTGTCTCTTTTTGGGGGGCTAGAGGGGGGAAGTCCAGGCATGTCCAGCGTGGCCTTGGTTGTGTAAGGGAGAGAACAATATCCTGAGCTCCCACAGGGCCTTGCCTTTGAGTTTCAGGACATCTGGAGGAACATGGAGCCTGTAGGGCCATGGGGAGATTTCTCTGAGATTGCTCAGCCAGTTAAACCAGCCCTTGCACCATTGTGTCAACATGGGCTCCCTTGCTTCTCTTTCCCACAGGCCACTTTCTTGGATGAGGTGGATTTTACTTTTCGAACCCCTCTCCTTTGTCCACCCTCAAAAAGCTGTAAAAGCCCTCATGGTCCTGGTGGGGGGAATGATCCCACTGCAGGAGGTGTTAGTGTTGATGGGAAGGACACTCCTGAAGAACCTTGGGAGATGCTGGAAGCTGAGAGTGTGCCTGAATGGTGGAGATAGGTGAAATGATGGCTCAGTCCCCCAGCTGCTGTTGATAGTGAAGGCTGTTGGAGGCTGAGCAACTCAATCAATGTTTTATTTTCCTACTGAATAAGAGGTGAATTCTGCCTTTCTTCCCTCTCCAATCGTCTTTCCCTCCCCTCTCCTCTTCTCTAGGAAATGAAAGCATTCAGGTGACAGTTGTAGATGGAGAGAAAACATTCACAGTCCTGATTCACCCAATGAAATACTTGTCTAGCTTGATGGCCAGAAATAATCTCTGTGAGATCGGACTGAAGAATCTGCTGTGCCACCTCAACACTGTCCACAGGCCCATCCTGGGTGGCTTTGGTCTCTGGTCACTCCCCTTTCCCACCCTCTTCAACGCGTTGACGATCATAAATAAGAAAAAAGAGTTCAGCTCTGCTGTGTATGGTTATCTGGACATTTTGCCCCTGATTAAGGAGAAGATCCCCAAAAGGGATAACTACAAGCTGAAGAACTTGGCCAACACTTACCTCCGGCAGCACTTCGGTGACTGCAGTGCCATGGAGAACGCCAAAATCTTGAAGTACCTGTGTAAGGTCCTGGACGTCGACCTGGCAATGAAACCCAGGCTGATCCTCAGTCAATCCAGCCTGGAATCCTTCATCTCCCTCCAGCCCTTGGTGGCTGAGAAGCTCCTCACCAAGCCATCAGCCCAAACATTGTCCACCCACAGCATTGGCCTCCATGAGCTCCGGCTCTGCTACCGGCACGACCCTGAGATGGGGCTCCAGAAAATGTGCCGTCTCATCAACACTCACCTTCACAGATCTGAAAAGAAAGTCCGAAACCTGAGCAAGGTCAAGGTCTACTTCCAGCGCCAGGAGCTGTTGGCTGAAGCCAAAGTGCCCAAGCAGGCAGCAATTTCCCAAGAGCCATAGAGTGAGGAAAAGTGTTGAAAGATGCTGGTGCCTCTCCAGGACTCATTCCCCTCTCACCCAAGGGGAGTGAGTCCTGGAGCCAAACCCTGGCTCACATCAGCAGTTTTGCCTTCAGTATTTCCTTTCTGCTCTTGCTTGGGGTGATGAGTCTGGGTCTTGGGTGTGACAGTCTCTTGCTGTCCTCTCTCATCTGAGCTTGTGCTAAGGTGAAAAGGTGAGGACACCAGCTTGGCTGAGGGATGTCCTGGCTCTGATCCAACACCCTGCAGCCACACCGTGCCTTTGTTTCCCCCCTGGATGGATCAAGCCAACTCTTGGGAGAAATCTTTCAAACAATTTCTGGTCTGGGTTTTTTGCAGGGGGGGTGTGGGGTGTCAGTGGGATCTGAAGCCAGCTGGAGAAACAGTAGGTGGGGAAACTGGTTTGGAAGGACCAAGGATGGTGGTCATAGGTAAGAAAGAGGTTGGGCAGAGCTGCTCTGTTCCTGTGAGCTGCTGTGTGGGATGCAGCTGTGGGAAGAACTGAAAATCCTCCTTCAGTCAGCAGGATCCGACCCCTCTAGCCTGGCATATGAACCTCCTAAGTGGGCGCACAGGGATATGGTTTTCCTACCTCTCCCCCTGCTTTCCAAGCTCAAAGACATCCAGGGAATTGCTTGATCAAGGGATGAATTTCATTGCTCTTTGGCTTCTGTGCCTGCTTGCAGATACTGAAGAAATAAATCATTTTCCTAATTTGTTGTGCATTGCAAATGATTTTGTTTTGCTCCCTGTTCCCACAATACCCACTTGCTCAAACAGGCAGAAGCGCAGGTTGGTGGGTGCTGCACCAACGGGTGCTTTGCAGTGTGATGCCCCCTTGAGGCCATGACACAGCTGAGGTGAACACGATGAGTATGGGATGACCCATGGGCGTGAGACATGCAGCTAGCCCCAGGATAGGTGTTGGCTTGAAGAATCATAGAATTGTTTAGGTTGGAAAAGACCTTTAAGATCATCAAGCCCAGCTGTTACCCTAACCCTGCCAGGCAAGAGGGCACCCAGAGGTCCTGTTTGCTCAGGGAGGTGCCGAGAAAGCCCGTCAGCCTGCTCACCATGGGAGCAACCCAAGTCATTTCCCTTGGGTTAGTGCATAGCTGTCCTGCCTGCTGGCAGCTACCCAGCTGGGATCATGCCAAAACAGCCCCATTCAGCCACGGCTATTGCTCAAAACTCATGGGCATCTCATCTGTGGGTGCGAGCGCAGCAACGAGCACTCCAACATGCGCCCAGAGGCAGGGGCAAAGCAAACATCCTTGTCCTGTCCCTAAATCCCCATAGAAGGACTCCTGTCCAAAGCCATGCTCCTCCCTGGTGTCACTTCAATACACAAAGTGCTTTTCTTCCTGATTTATAGCCTCTAACCAGGCATGAGGAAGCTTCAGCTGGATCAACCTGCCCCGGTCCCCTCCCTCTGGGGACCACAGAGGGGACAACCTGCTGCTGAATCATCCCAGGAAGGGACAGACTGCTCAGACACCATGGCGACTGGTATGCCCCAGGTCTAAAAATTCTAATAATTATTAGAAATAATTCTTATTTCTAATACTTAATAGCTCTAATATTACTCCCGATAAGGATTATTCTGTTCATTATTTTACAACCACTCATTTCAACACCAGTCGTGCCCAGGAAGCTGGTGGCTCCAAGGGACAAGTCTGCTCAGGAAACAGTTAACCAGCCACGTGGGCACAAGCATTTTCCTCCCTTTTGCTAAAATCCTGGGAAACACAAGGGAACGCAGGTGGCAGCGCCAGTGCGGATGCCGCTGTGCAGAGTCTGGTCCTGCAGGGACGCAGCTCAGGGCAACCCCTGGGGATCGCCTCCACGATCTCCCTCTTTCCATCTCCTCTTCCACCTAATTCAAGTTTAAATTTCCTCTGCTTCCTCCAAAAAAATCAGCTTTTGCTTGGTAGAGAAGAGCCAGCCCTGAGGCCCTCACATCCAGGAAATCCCCAATTGCCCTTGGCATGAACGCCTCCGTGAGGATCATCACCACCTTGAAGGAGCTGGGGACAGGGACAAGTTTTGCCATGGGAAAGTGTCACCCCCTTGGCCAGCAACCCCACTGTGGAAGGGCCCTATGATCTGGAGGTGGGACATACGGTCTGAAGGTGGATCTCACAGAACTGGCCATTACCAAAAAACAGGGGCAAAAACTGCAGGTGGCTGCACAGCAAACTCATCATCCCTCCTGTGCTCAAGGGACCCGAATCCAGCACCTCATTGGAGCCTACAAGGATGGGTTCCCCAGGGAACTGGGTGCTCTCAGCTGTTGCTGATTGCACTTATGGGAGGTGGGGCGAGCATCACCTGGGGTGGGAGCTGCTGTGGGAGGTGTGGGCTGTAAAAGGTCCCTGGGCAGGAGAAGCTCCTTGTGCTGGACCCTGGTAGGCAGGATGAGGCCAGGAAGCAGCCTGGGGTTTGCTCTTTTCTGCTGGGTTTTTGGGGAGGTGGTTGCTTATAACCCCTGGGGCTTCCTTAGAGGGGAAGCAGAGCTATGGAGGTACGGAGGGGTTTCTTCCTCAGGGCAGCCCCGTGCCTTCTCCCAGCCCTCTCCCTGGGCATGGGTGGATGTCTCCCAGCTCCAGGCTGCTGCCCTGCTGCACCCTGTGGTTGTGCAGTGCCAGGAGGCGCAGGTGGTGGTCACGGTGCACAGGGACCTCTTTGGCACGGGACGCCTGGTCAGGGCTGCGGACTTGACCCTGGGCTCGGCCGCCTGCCTGCCCACAGTCTGGAGTGCTGCTGAGACCACAGTGACCTTCGTGGCTGGGCTGCATGAGTGTGGCAGCACCCTTGGGGTAAGGCTGGGGGGGCTGGAGTCTCAGGGAGGGAGGGTCTGCCTCTTGGCTTGCACCTCCATGCCTTGGGGTGCTGGGGCTGGCAAGGGGGTTGTGGTGCAGGTGAGCTTGGGGAAATGCTCCAAAGCCTTTCCTAGAGGGTGAACCTCCCAGTCTGCTTTTCAAGGGCAGCAGAAGCTCTTCTGTCTGGTCTGGGGGCTACCTCTGGTGTTGTGTGAGCAGGGAAGGGCATGCAAGAAGCAGAGAAATGAGGCTTTTCCTGATGAATAGAGAGGTACCTAAATCTTCCAGGACTATTTATACTGTTGCTGTCGCCTCCAGCGTGGAGCCCAGATGATCTGGTGCTGGGGGCTGCTGCAGCAAGGGAGCAGTGGATGCCCACCTTAGGAGGCATCAGGGTGCCACTTGAGTGTAGTGTGAAGGTACTTCACAGAAAACTTAAGCCTGAAGTGGTCTCTTTCCCCTGGGAGAGGCTTGGGGCCATGAGGCAGGTGCCCCCTCATATTCCAGCCAGCAGATATCTTCATTAAATCCCCCTGAGCAGAAGTCACCCTTTGATATCCTGGGGGCCAGTGCTTCCTATCTGTTGTTCCAGGGCATGGAAACCAGAAGGAAAAAAATCAGCTTGAGCACCTCTGTATCCAGCTCTGCTGCTGAGCAGAGGCCACCCCAGGGCAGGGTGGAGCAGCTTCCCAGCCCAGAGCATCCCTCCTACTGGCTGATGACCAGAAAAAACATCTCAGCACTGAGTCTCCAGGCTTAAATGCACTGCTCTAAGTGTTTGGCCAAAAAAGCCAGGCTCTTAATGACTGGATAATGTGTCTTATCTTTTCCCAGGTGACTCCTGATGCTCTGGTCTACAGCACAAGCTTAAATTACAGCCCAGTTCTTACTGGCAACCCTGTCATCATCCGTACCAGCCCTGCTGTGGTCCCTATCGAGTGCCACTACCCAAGGTGAGCCAATGCAGATGAGCACCAAGCAAGCCCCTTCTGCTGCCACAGAATTTAACTAGTGGCATCTCCCCCCTAGGAGGGACAACGTGAGCAGCCACGGTGTCAGTCCCACGTGGGTGCCCTTCCACTCCACCCTGTCCTCTGAGGAGAAGCTGCCTTTCTCCCTGCGCCTTATGAACGGTAGGTTTGGGGTGAGGTCCTCCATGGCTGGTGCTGGTATCACCCCATTGGGGTTCCCTTGGGTGGGAGCAGTGAAGCACAAGCTGGCTTCCTGTTCATGCGTGCCTGGTGACCTCTCTCCTTCCAGATGACTGGAGTGCCGAGAGAGGCTCCACCATATTTCAGCTGGGAGAGGTCTTCCACTTCCAAGCTGGTGTCAACACGGAGAACCATGCACCTCTGAGGCTCTTTGTGGACAACTGTGTGGCCACTACGGCTCCAGATGGGAGCTCTTCTCCCCAGTATGCTTTCATTGACTTCAGTGGGTAAGAGCTGGCTGTGCACTTATTTAGAGATCCCTTTCTGCAGGTTATGGATGTCTCTGACAGTGGGATCCTGCTGGCCCTTGCTTTTGTGTCTAGGTGCCTGGTGGATGGGCAGCTGGATGATGTCACCTCAACTTTTATATCCCCAAGACCCAGGCAAGATGTGCTTCAGTTTGCAGTAGATGCATTCAAGTTTTCAGGATACTCCAGCGACCTGGTAAATCCTTCCTAAAGCAACTGAAGTACCTTGTCTAGATGGGGCTATAGCTCACTCCATTAATAAAGTTCGCGTGGCTATGTCTAGAATTATATTCCCAAGGCAACTGCCTCATAGCAACACATGGATGAGGTCACCCTGTATTACTGCTCCTGGATCATGGCGCTCTGAGCCCAGGATCTTCCTTGGAGAACAGTTCTGATCCTGGCCGAGACAAGCCCTTCTGATTAGGCTTCGATAGCTGAACCCTTAGTGGCTTGAAGGAAGCAGGGTGGGGTTGAGGAGATGGTGGTCCTGTTGGAGACTGACTTCATGGTGCATGAGAAAGACATGAAGGCAAAAGAGAACTTAATGCCTCTGCTCTGCCTGGCCTCCCTAGATCTACATCACCTGCCACCTGAAGGTCTCCCTGGCTGACCAAGCTCCTGACCCTCTGAACAAGGCTTGTTCCTTCAACAAAGCCAGTAACCTGTAAGTAACCGGAACAGCAGCTTGCCCAAAGGTGAAGAGCCTGGGCTTCTCGTCTGATGTGTCACCTTCCAGGAAGGTGGGGTTGGCCATCTGGGTGTGAGGCTCTTGGTCTATCCTAGAAGACTCCAAAGCATGTGAGGGATTCCTACCATAGGGTGGGCTACTCACCAGGCTCTCTTCTAGCTGGGTGCCTGTGGAAGGCACCCAGGATATCTGCTCCTGCTGCAAGATGAGGAGCTGTGGCTTGGCTGGGCGCTCCAGGTGGCTCCATGCTCACTCCCGGCAGCAAGGAGAACGGGTCCGAAGAGAACTGCCCTCCCAGCTTGGTAGGTCTCAGTATGCCTCTTGGGCTCTGTCACCTTCACGGCAACTTGCTCAAGGTTGGGTGGCTGGAGCTGCCTCACTACCTGTTGGCTCCTCAGTGCTAATCCAAGGCTTGGGAGAGCTAGGTTTTCCAACAGGCTTGTGAGTACTCAAAGGCACTCCCTTTCAGATCCCTCGGTGAAAGAAGCAGATGTTGTGGTTGGACCCCTCTTCATCCACAGTTGGTGGGATCACCCAATTAGGAGGATGCCTTTGAGAGGTGGGCAAGCTCAGGGAAGGGCGGTGGTTTGTGTGGCGGGCCCCGGCTCTGGCTGTAACCACCTCCCTACTTCTCCTTTCTAGATGCAGGTCATGTGTGGATGATATTGGGGCTGGCGATTGTTGCTGGTGTGGTCGTCCTAATCCTTGCTGTTCTAGGAGCTGTGACTGTCTGCCGAAAGCCCAGCGACCCCCTTTAAGCCACTGGTTTGAACTTTTATAGTCTGTCCAATAAAACAATAAATTGAAGGACTGAGAGGCTTGGTGGGGAGGAGTAAAGAAGCCTTCCTGGAGAGAATGAGCTAACCAAATCTTCATGCTAACTCTGCTTCTTTGCACCCAGTTTGGGTCTCCCTTTCCTGAAGTCCTGTCCTCAGCAGAGCTTTGTGCAGCCTTACACCACCCTGAACACCTCCCTGAGCACCTAGCTAGGAACTGATGCAAAAAAGAATCACTATCTGGCTATTGTAGCCTTGTTGCTAGAAGCTTGGGGTTGTGTTTAGGCCTTGAAATGCTTTTACTTTCCTTTGGAGCTCCTTGGGTCTGCTCCATATTGGTAACTCCTTACCCAATACGGCAAGGGTTTAATAAAACCGTCCTCCTGCCTCAATCCATTTCTGGGAAAGAAATCAAGCTTTGGTGCATGAGGAAGGGAGCACAACTTGAGGGCCAGTAGATTGGGATCTTCCTGGGACAAACTGAGGCAGGAATTCCAGTGCCTGCCCCAAGGACTGTTTACACATAGTTATATGTAACAAGCCTTGGCTGAAATATATAAACAGTCCTTGGGGCAG